GGAAAGAGAAATATACAATGTTAGTTCATTTCTAAACTTATTTTTCATGATATTACTATCTCGAGATTTTAATAAATAAGGACTGATTGTCATGATACTTAACAAAGTCTGTTAAGCGAAGGACATAATATACTAATTTGGATTTTACCCAACAGTCATTCTGTAAACATTTATTAACTCAAGTCCCTTTCCATAGTTTAGTAGCTATCTAGAGGTTTTTTTTTTTTTTTTTGTCTAAATCTTCATACGAAAATTTATATTAAAAATTAGTTTCCTGTATGATTTTTTTTTCTTATCATAAACTATTTTGCTTGAATTCAGAAATAATAAAATGGGTGATAATCAAGGATGGCAAAGGTGATAGGGTACATGTGGAAACCAATCAAACAATTATTTTAATCTCAGCGTCAAAACGTTCTTAGTATGTCAAGAAACTAGAGGACTGTGTCTCTGATTTCAAGGAGTTACTTGATTTTTAACAGCAATTAGTTCATACTCAAATATAATGTGCTGATATTTTAATCTTTAAGAGTGACCATATTTGGTACATTGCTAGATATAAAGAAAGTTCAATATGGGATTTGAAGATAGTGCTGATCAAAAGGCAGTGGTCTTGATAGTATTCAGTAAGTCTTCTGGTATTTACGGAAACACATGGTAACTATGTAACTTCATTGATCGATGACTCCAGAGTGGGGAAAAAATTTAACTAAGGCATTCTGAAAATAAGAAAGTTGAGGTAAGATACTGACTTATCGTGGTTTAGACTAGCATTTGATGAGGAGAAAAAAAAAACGACATGATTTAAATTAGGAGAAGGTCAGGGCTAATGTAATGCTTCTTGGGCCTCTGAATCATGGCTCTGAGTATTATCTTAAGAAAAGCAAAAAGCAGAATTTTCTCTTCTGTAATCTGAAGTTATCAAAGCAGTTACAAGTTGTCTTATCTGTTTGGTGGGGAAGATATGCCCTCTCTAAGCTCTACTGGGAGAAAATACATAGCCTAGATTTTATATTCAATAAACATTTAGTATTTAAAACATATAATACATATGATTAAATATATAGTTGAAAATAATGTTTAGGATTTAAGCTTTCTGGATTTGAAAATTCTACTTTCATCACATACTAACTATGTGGCTTTGTGAGTTAATATATCTAAACTTTCCATTTATTGGTATAATAATAAGAACTGATGATTATTGAGTATTCAACACATGTCAGTCACTATTCCAAGTGCTTAATATGTATCAATACATTTAGTCCTCAGGTCAATGTAATTGTGGTAGAAATTATTCTCACTTTATGGAGGAGAATTTCAGAATTTAAGCAAGGTCCCACAGCTAAACGATAACCAGGGATTTAAATGACCTGGGATTTGACCAATAAAGCTTGACCTCTCTACCTAGCACTTTTATCTCTTTTACTGTACTACTTCTCAAGATATGGGAGATAGTACTAGTACCTACTTTATGGAACTAAATGATTAAATGAAGCAATGCATATATAGTACTAAGTATAAGGCCCACTGCAGAGTAAATTTTCAGAATTGTAATGTAAGTTGCTATCGTTCGTCTGTATTGTATGTCCAAAGTATTCTAGGAGAATTACAAGCATTTAATTTAATCTTCACAATACCATTATATTATTATCTAAATGTGCAAGCTATAGAGAAACAAGGTATCTTGATAGAAACAAAATAATGAATGACAGAACCAGGATTTGGATTAGATGTTCTGACTCCATGGCTAATACTCTTTCTGCTATACCATTTTCTCTCCTGTTTCATGTTATCACAATTCTGGTATTGTTATTGGCAACTAAATGTGTGTCACTGAAATGTGTCTTCTTCATAATAGAGGGATTGCTATACACATGTGTATTAGTGAAGGTGATTTACTATGTTAATTAGAATTTTAACCTTCGTTTGCATAGTAATATTCAGTAATTATATAGGAGTCTGTGAGAATAACTAAATTGTTTTTTAGGGTAAAGTAGATCTAGAACGTTCTGCAGCTTCTTTAATGTCATTTAAATTATTTAGCATCAATATACTGAGTACAGAAATGTTTGAAAATGTGAATTTAGAAGCTAGAAAATCATATGGCGATTTGTAAACCAAAATGAATCAATTAATCTATTGCGAATGTTAATCAAAAGCCTGCGTGTATTGTTATTTATTCAAATCATACTCACGATTGGAATCGATTAGCCTCTGGAATTTGAAAGCCGGTTTCCACCAATCCGATCCATGGGAACACCAAATCGCCTTTTTGGATGATCTACTACTTTTCTGAAACAAATCAAGGAGAATATTTTTAAGCTAAAGTCCAAATTATCAACTATTACTTTTGCTCTTTTATTTCATGCAGATGTGGGGCTTTCTCCCGGAGTTAGAAGAACCTTGTAGTTATCAATCATCATCACTATGTGTCGAAGTAGGTTTTACTACCTTCATTTTACATCTGAGGAAACTGAAACTTAGAAAAATTAAAAAACTTATTCAAAATCAATTAGTCCAGATGAAAAGTCAGGTATTAGCATCATACCATTCTGTTGTATTTATTTTGGGTAAGTATCTCTCCCTCTTCAGATTTTGGTGTATTTTCTGTTAATTGAGGAAGGCTGCACTAGGTCAGTGGTTTTCTCCAACCTGTGTCTCATAATGATTCTTCTGGAAAAGATGGTGGTGGGAGAAGAAATGGTGTTGATGCCAAGACTGAATATGGAATAAATATGCCTCTCATGTATTCATTCAGATTTTACCTAGAGAAGCTTTGTATATGAAGGTCTCTGTTATATATTCTTTGTGTCAAATATTTTTTCAGAAAAAAAAAAACTTTATTATTAAAATAAAGTTTAAAAAATCTTACAGAAATCCTTAAAGCTTGTATGTTCTACATTATTTCTTTTAAAAGAAGAAACATTTCCATTTGATTTGTTATTACCATCACTTAGGGCAATCAAATCAAAATTTTAACAGGAGAGATCTCAGAACTTTGAGTGCATAATGTTCACTGGCTTGGAGCTAAGAGTTTTGAGTCTTCTTAATGAAGATTGAGATAGGTAGGAGAAGCTAAGAAGCTTATGTAAATAAATGACTTGTCTTAGTTAAAGGTAATTGACTTATAGATTTGCTAGCCTTTTTATCGACATAATAGACATGCAGAAAAGAGGACATGTTATAAGTGAACAATATTAGACGATTGTAGATTACAAATGCAATAAGTACCCAGATCAAGAAATACAACATCATCAGCAGTCAAACACTTTTGGAATAGGACAGAGTCTTAAAGGTTATTCTTCCAACAAATGTCAAAACTTCTGCTTCAGTTTTTTGACCAGCAATGATACAGCTCATCACTTGAACATCTCAGTGATGCAGGGTTAATTATTAGACAACTTAATCAATTTTCAACAACTTAAAGAGTTAAACAAGATTTGTTTCAGAACATTTTTAATAGCTTCTTTACTTCTTTTCTAATTACTTGCATCATATTGTCAATATATACCACACAATTTAAACACTAAAAATGAATGAAAACCACAGTATCTATGAGTTTTTTCCTTTTATCACTTACTATACATCTACTATGTATAAAGTTTTTTTTTTTTTTTTTTTTTTGCATGTGTGGCTGTCAGAAATAAGTCAGAAATAAATCTTTGGTTTCAAAAACCTGTAATTAAGTACTGTCAGATTGATAATGATTTAATGCAAATAGTACAAGAAAGAAGTCCCTCATTTTTCTTGATGTCAAGTTTTTATCTTAACTAACAGGCCCTATCAATATTCCACATATCACTATTAGGTAAATAATTTATTTAAAAATCTCTGAAAAGTATGGAAAACAATGGGAACATGAGAGATTTTTTCACTGTATCTGGCACATGGAAATTCTATAAACATTGCTTAATTCTAATTGAAACAATTAATTTAAAGGTAATTGTTTCTTAATGCTTTCTATATGTCAGTCACTGTACTTAGTACTGTGTATACTGATAAAAATAGGCATTGAACTTGATATGGAACTTACCTTCAAAAGATATTGTAGGAATGGGGCCATGTTAGATTTTTTTTAAATTTATTACTTTAAAAAAATCTAATTCAGCCTTCTTTTCTGCTGATTTACATGCATCTTCTTTTTCAGGCTGGCCTTTAGTTATGTTAGCCAATGCAGATAGCATCATATGTATGATCTTATAAGACTCTCCTAGACAACAGTTCAATTGAGGAGAATCAAGAAAAAAATATTTAGTGCTTATCCTTAATCTATCCATATTTCTGCCTCCATTCTTCAGACTTCTGAAAAACACACCTATTAAATGGTTTCTATTGATTGCACTTCTGGATTTCTTGGTACTAAATTAACCATGTATTTTTTAGCTTGATAATCAGATGGGAAATACATTAGCTGTAAAATTAGCATAAAATTAATGGTCAAGAGTTACAAGAAGCTATGCATATCAGTTGTGTTTAAAATCTTCTGATGTAATTATAAATAATGACTGTAGCGAAAAAGAAAAACTGTCTTCTTTATATTTATTATTTTTATTCACATAAGTAAATTTATAGACTCTTAAATAGCTATTTTTCTCACTGTAGTCAGAACATGCCCCTCCTCTGAGAGATGTCCATGTCATAATTTGCATAATCTTTGAATATGTCACTTTATATAGCAAAAGAGACATTGCAGAGAAGATAAATAAAGACCATGAGATAAAAAGATCATCTTGGATTATCTGGATGGGCCCAAACCAGTCACAGGAGCCTTTAAAAGTGGAAGCCGACTAAAGAAGAGTGGGTTAGACAGCTGCAGTCTGAGAAGGGCTTAACCTATCATGGAATAAAGAAATGTGTGGCCTCTATAAAAGTTCTCAAAAGAAAATGGGGGCCTCAGTCCTACAAACGAAAGAAACTGAATTCTGCCAACAACCTGAATGAGCAGGAAATAAATTCTGCCCAAGAGCCTCCAAGAAGGAGCACAGCGTACCAACCTCTTGACTCTCTCTGTGTCCTGCTGGCAAACCAGGCAAAAGAAAGAGCACAGAACTGCATGCAGGAGGAATTTTAGGGGCCACCCATTGGCTATCGATCAATCATATGGCTGCCCCTAATTGAAAAATAGACTGAAAAAAGTTTTCTAGAATGATATATGGTGACTGGAGAGGATATACTGGATGTTTGGCCTACACAATTTTAAGATAATAAATTGATGCTGCTTTTAAGTCCAGAAGTTTGTGATAATTTATTACCATAGCAATAAAAAATGAATACATTTGTCTCTGATTTAGGGCTGATGTCTATGTGTAATGTGGTAAATATGTAAAAAAAAATAAACGTGTTTTTTTTTCATTTAACCCTTAAATTCATTCACTAACACTTATAACTCCAGGAGATGGTAAGTCGGGAGCTACCTCAGGATGGAGGAGAGTGCTTAGGGGAAGTTCTGGACAAATAGAAAAAGGAACTGAAAAACCACCTCCTTTCAGATGTTTAAAAAACTGGTGAGAAGAGGAAGTCCACACCTGTGTGCTGACTTCCTAAAGCTTCTGTGGAATGGATGGTGTCATGAAATTTTTTTTTACTTTTTTAAATAGGAGTATGATGGTCACATGTATCATTGCAAATTTGCACATAGCCTTTATTGGTCTATATTACCGATGAGTTTTTTTCAAAAATGAAGGTAAAATAAATGAAGATAACATTTTCTTTTCTTTATTACAATTGATCTTCTTTTCCCGCTCAAGTGAATGAGAGGCAATATGGCATGGTAGAAAGTAAAATAGATTCTCTTTTTCATTTTTTCTTGCCCTGTTCCCTGTTCTTTCTTTCCCTTCCCTCCTCCACATTTTATTCAAAAAGTATTAGAAGCCAGGAGATGGTACACTTGGATTCTATATGATTCTTCTGCTCACTGATAGTGTGAGTGTTTGTAAGTCTGTTATCAATCTGAATTTCTTTCTTTTTTCATAAAATTCAGATAACACCTGCTCTGCCTATCTTCTGGAGCTATTTATTCATTTAACACACTTATTCGTTATGTGATATTTAATTGTTTTATGCATAACCGTATGTAACTTGTTCTCTGCACTGGGAAAATAGTGATCAAGGAGATAAACATTAGCTATTAGAAATCACATTTGACTTGAAAAAAGCTAATGAAGTCACACACCCGAAAACATTTCGTACATTTTAACTGATTTTACTATTCTTTCCTGTCAGTCTAGTTTCAAACTATTTGTGGCTTACTATTTTTACAAATAAAAGCTTTATAAAAGAGAACTATATCTAAAAAGTTGAGTGAAGAATTATTTCAGTAAAGGAGTACTACACCTTTGCTAAATATGGTGGTCCCTGAAAGAGCTTAAGGGTCTCAGGAACACGTAAGGGTCCTTAGAGCAGAGTTTGAAAACCACTAGTCAAGTGGACAGGGACCTAGGTCATGAATGCTTTTGTTTCAGCAATAGATCTATAAATGCTTTTGTCGATTTTATCAAATGTTAGATTAGTTGCAAATGATCAGAGTTATCTTGAAATCAAATAAGAAAAATAAATAAAGCAAAATATACAAAAAAACTCCATTGAATATTTAAATTTTTTTAGCACTAATAGAAAATTAGTGCTAAATTTTTTTAATATTTAAATTTTTTTAGCACTTCCATAAAGCAAATAAACCAAAAAATAATCATAGCTCAGTAAGTTAAATAAATTCTGTGTCTCTATCCATTCAGACGTAAAATAGCAAACTAGTATTTATCTTAAACTTTTTGCTGATATGAAATATATATAACGGTACTACACTGAAACACATACACGGACAAGAATACATAATGTGTAAAATATAAATGTTAAGAAAGAGAAATATTCTGAAGGCACTAAGGGAAAACTTTTTTCTGACTATCTGGTCCCTCTTGTGACAAAATAATGGTATGACATGGCTTATATTATATATCCATTTAACTTAATCTAACTTTTCAATTCTAAAATACTCAGAAAATAGTTTAAAGATATAGAATATCTAGCAAACTACTATAAAGAAAATGGATTGCTTATTTTAAATATGGCTTTAAACTTCATACTCAAATGTAGACTTCTTGTGACAAATAGAATTTTTAAAATTTATATTCTTTGATGATTCAATTTCTGAAAATGTTTTATATTCTAAAAAAAGTTAGAAAAATTGTATTTAAACTTTTTATTGAGAATCACTTCACATATACAAAAGAGTGTATAAATTTATTATGTTCAGTTTAAAGAAAAATAAAATAAATATTCCTATTGGCAGCACCAAA